TAGATACTGAGGTTTCCTATTTAATTTATATTCCCTAAGAGGAACTACCAATGGTTGTACTACAAAAATATATGTATAACATTTTTGGTTAACAACAATATAAATATTTATTAAGTAACATAATATTAAATAAGCAATACAACCTACGGGACACCTGGAGATAATAATAATCCAACAGAAACTGACGGCTATATACACACACGTGTTAACACGGCGGTAGTTAATTTAAGTTAATGTCTTAGACAATAATAAGAGTAATAGTCGTGATGATGGTAAAAAGTCAACTGGTGTTTGGGACATTCGTATTATGGCACGGTGACTGTGAATCCTAAAAGTGTTTATATATGCAGTCTGCCTTTTTATAGCAATATGCAAAGATGAACAAGTAATGGAAATAACTCAAGTTAAATTAAGTATGATTAATGTCGATAAATTAACAGTTAAAAGTTAACAAATTATAAATATAATTAGCTAGGTTAAATTTCTTTAACTTAATCAACTTGAAAAAAGTTTATTTAATCTAAAATTAATTTTTTGTCTAAAATCATTTTTCATTGGTCGGTGATGTAAGGGAAAGCTAAGAATCGATTTTTGACTTTTATTGTTGAATCTCCTTCTTCTTTTTCCTAACCTTAATCCCAACTACTTGGGGTCGGCCACCCTTATCCTAAACTTCACTTGACGCGATCTCCCACATCATCTACGTTTATATTAGCCGTCCTCATATTACATTCAACAACATCCTTCCATCTCATTTTTTGGTCTTCCTCTACCTCTTCTTCCTTCAACATTCATTTTATATAACTATTCTTACAGCTTTCGACTCCTCTCTCCACATAACATGACCAAATCATTTAAGTCTATTTGCTCTCATCATATCCACGATTGACGCTACACCTATACTCCCTCTTATACGTTTGTTCCTTATCCTATCTTCTCTAGTTACTCCACTCATCTATCTAAGCATCTCTGCTACAATCATTCTCTGCTCTACTTTCTTATCAACTGCCCAACACTGAACCATACATCATAGCTGACCTCACTACAGTCTTGCAGAATTTACCTTTCTGCCTCATTGAATTCTCTTAGTTTATTAGAAAAATAATTAACTAGTTAAGTTGAAAAGTTAAAAAAAAATTAACTTATAATATATGTGTCACTGTGTTAATGTTATAAGCTTAGTCGACGATATTGTAGGATATCAGCATATATATATATATATATATATATATATATATATGATCGTATCAATATTGATAAGTTGCAGAAGAATATTCAATTAGACTTTACTGCTAAATCCATTTTCCGCCACAAGATATTATAAAGCAGACTTAAATTTGGAAGATAACACAGGCATAATGGCAGGGGCGTCATTTAAAGATTACGTAGTATCCATTTGCGTACCTAAAATTATGCTTACGTGTTATCATAATTTATTCCCTAAAATTCAATCTGGCTTTAGACTCTTAACATCCAAGTAAGAATAGAAGAACTTACCCATTAATCCCACCTTACGTAGTAGCCTCTACAATATTTATGAAAACCAAAAAGAAAAATTGAAATAACACTCCTGATTCATGTTAATTAATATGATAATATGTGGTATTTCGAGTTTTATCCTCCAAATTTAATATTTAACTATAATCATTTAGTATACTATTTTTCTGGAACTTTTTTGTTGGGTAATATGAATTAAAATAATTGAAATGTCCTGTAACTATATTATACATTTTATAAGATTTTAAATTTTATAATTAATGTTTAATATTATATTTCTTAATATATATATTTCTAAAACTAAATGCATTTACTATTTTGCATTATGTTCCTCTAAAGAAATAACTCTTAATTGGTTTAAAATAAAGAAATAATGACATAGTTCTATTCATTTTTTAAATGATCACGTAAGTCTTCTTTATGTATGAATATAAATACATTATTTTACACTATAAATAGAAGTATAATAATATAAAGCCTGTTTGTGAGAATATATATATTCTCAAATAAATGTAATTATTAACTGAGAAATTAAAAAAGAAAAATGAAACTTGATTAAAAACATTTATTATTCTTTTGAAAAATTATAGTTTGCTACATTTTTATTTAAATTATAGTTTTATTACAGCTATTAAGTTTGGTAACAACGAAAATAATTGTTAACGTGATTAGTTTATTGTGTTGTTGTACTGTGATTGTTTGTAGTATTTAGCACCAAAAGTCGAATTAAATGAGTTATATCATTAATGTGTAATTGATACACAAAAAAAAAGGAGCATAAATTTAGATATTTTAAATATTTCTTCATCAAAAGTAATTAACGATTTAATAAACCAGTATTCAAACAACCTTAGATGTGAGTTTCAATTTATTGCTTTGTTTTTAATGCGGTTGTTCAAAAATCTTCTAAAACGATATGGCAATGAAAATATGATTGACCAAGCGATAGAGAAAATAGCATCATTCTCAAAGTATGCTTACCATATATTAACAATTCTGTATAATGCTGAGTTTTCTGATTTGTATGATATGTGGTTATTTCATATGTATACTAGTGAAATAGTAGAATATCAGAAACATTTCAAAAGTTTAAATGTTAGTAGTATCGATCAATCATTTAATTTCCATGACATGCACATGAATATTAAGAAAAATATTAAATACCATATAAAACAATGTGTAGACACATGACAAACTTAACATCACCAGTTGACAACATTCTTTGAAAATTTTAAAAATTTGAGTGAAACTTAAGGTAAAGCCTCTTATGGTGAGGCAATGAGATTAACAAAGAAATATTTATCAAAGTACAGAAAATTCAAAGATCATTAATTAAATTTTTACACTTCATTATTGAGAATTTCTGAACATTATTTTCAATTAGTTAATCACATATTTAGCACTTTTAACAATAATAAAATTAAAAAAATAACTTTTAATTTTTCAAAATATATCATTTTAGAGACTTGTAGCGAAAGTAGACGAATTAACGTTGTTTTTTGAATGAATAGTTTTGAATCGTATATACATGTTTACAGGGTAGACTCTATATCAATAAATTTCTTACAAAAAAAAATAAAAATATGAACGATATAAACAGGATACAATTATACATGATTCATTCATTATAAACGACATACTTCTCCGAAAATTGTAATAATTTTTTAAAAAATGTTATGAATTTGTATAGTGGTATTTATTTTTATTTAAAACATTATATATAATAAATTAGAAAATAGTCGTCAAACTAATAAAATACTGTTATCATTTTAAAATAAAGATCAAGCAGTAAAATATTCAAGGCATATAAAAAATAAAATTTTGCCGGGAATTTTTTTTCATATTTAACCTAAAAAATCATATGATTTGTTTTTTTATTATAGTTAAAAGGAACAAATAAGTTTTTATTATTTTCAAAATCACTATATGGGTATTTGAGGAACGACTTTCATAATATAATTAAGATGAACATTTATTGATAATATTGATTACAAATAGAATTTTATAATTTAGTAATTTCATATATTACAATCAATGATGGTAAAAAAATGCCAATCCCAAAAAATCCAAGTAGGCTTTTACAGGCTATATCTAGATAATTATAAAAAAAATCCAAGTGATATTTTTAAGCATAAAAATAATTAATGTTGGTTGAACATAATACTAATTTATTAGATAAATCTGCAAATGGGCAATATGTTGAACAAGACTCGGTGGGTTTTGGGATAAAACCTTAAAATCTCCGACATCTTGGGTTAATTTCTGAAAATTATTATTTATTATCATTCACATTAAATAATAATTTTCAGAACACAATAGCATAATTAATAAATCGTTTATTGACAAATGAACGTTACAACGTTTTACAAAATATTTACAATAGTTTTCTTAATACAATTAATATCACAAATTATTACTGTATTTCTCATTAGTTATCGTACATGATAACCAGGCACCGTTAGATAGCACAATCAGCATTGACGGGACCTGTTAATAAGTTCATAAGTGGATTTGTTGACTTGCCAGACCTAATTATCTAAGACTATGTCACGTCCATACTGTGCCGCGACCCCCCTGTATTAGATTTTTTTATTACAAACTAAAAATCAAGAAGCGTCTTAAATGAAAAAATAGAATATAGATGGAAGAATAATTACTTTGAGGATTTGGTAAGAAACAATACAAATGTTCATTATTAAAAAATTAAATTATAGAGTATAGACTAGTGATGAGAAATATCGAATAGTAACTATCGAGCTATTCGATAGTCATTCAAAAACTTTTCGAATAGTAAAAATATTCGATAGTTACACAATATATTTGAATAGTTTTTTAAATATTTGATAGCTTATGCTAAAAATAAACTATTCGGTTGTATAAAAACAACTCGAATAGTTATTCGATAGTTTTAAAAATTTTCGAATACTACTCGATAGTTTAAAATATTCGAAAATGCCCATCACTAGTATAAACCTAAATAATTCAACAATGAATTCAACGATAACTACACTACTCTATTTTGATAAGTCTTATAAAGATTTTTACTAGGTTACTACTACTAGTAGCAATAACACATAATTTCCAATGAATAATTTTAAGCCCCAATAAGAAACATAATGTCCAATTATGAGATTTTTGTGTAAAACTGTGATAGGTATTATCATTATTTTTAATTATCCAAGGTTATCAGTATGCAATAAATGTTATTATAATAAAAAATATGCACAAGGATATTCTAATTATTTAAATACCATAATGTAAAAATAGAAATTTGTAGATACGTTTTGTAGGCGTAAGGGCGAATTCCAATTAAAACATTATGTTATTTAACTTATTATATTTTAATATTTTATATTATGAAAAATCACAATGTTTTATTCATTTCTAAAAATATGAGTAATCTATGAGTATATATAAATAACAAGTCAACATAATAATACCACGTTTTTTTATAAGATATTAAACGTATAAATATCTACGTAAAAAAAAATACACAAGGAATGTACTAAAGAATATGTTTAAATTTGTTGGTAGTAATACAATTACAATACAAAATATTAAACAAATTAATAAATAAAATCGAACGTATACAAACAGCTAACGTACACTAAATTAGTGAAATAGAAACAAAACAAAAAATAAATTACTGATGTCTGTCATGAATTTGTCAAGTAGTATTTTTATTGCTATACCCACTAGATAAGACAATAACTCAGTAATATGTTGTACATATCGCAACATAAAAAAACAATTAACAGTAAAAGTTGTCAACTTTTAAAATAAATTCAATACAGGAAGTATACAGTAATAAAAAATAATATTTATAATAAATAATAGATTTGTTCTATTATTAATTAATAGACATAATCCATTTGGTATGTATATAGGAATACTATTTTTCTGTAAAAATGACTATTTTTATACAGTAGAAAATATGTCATTAGTCAAACAATTTTGATTTCGTTTCTCCAGTCCATCATTCAAGTCTGACATGATTTTATCGCACCACTTTTTGGTAGGTGTTATTGGCAAATCACAATAATTCTGAAAAAAAAAATTAATAATTTTATTTGAACAGATATGATAATGTTTCATGGATTCATAATAACAGAGTACGGATACACTAAATATACAGAAATATCCATTTAACGAAACAAGAATAGCTTTGAAAAATTAAAATTAGAGGCTGTGTATCAAAAATAGTTAAAAAATGTTAATGATGAATATAAAATTTTTCTTTGACCAAAATTAACAAATAATATGTATATCTGTATATCTGTCAGATGCAACCAGAAAGTGGGTATAGATTATTCATGAGGTAGTAAAAATTTTGAATATTCCCATGAAATAATCCACACCCAGTTTTTAAATATAATTTGATTACGTGTAAAAAAAATTTGAACCTCCTAAATCCACCACTTACCAACGCCACTAATTGCAACACATTTTATGGTTGTTTGTATAGTTATGTATGAATAATAAATAAATTTTCTAACAATATCACAATTTAAGTAAACTGCAACTTTTTATCTCAACATTTTTATTGAGTATTTAAATATACTTTACTACAGTGTATAACTTTGACTGTAATTAATATATATATATATATATAAAAACCATCTGAATTAATTTTTAAAATTTTTCATTGTAATTACTGTAAAAAATCTATTGAAAATTTAAAGTATGAAAAAAGAAATTATAAAAGTAAAAAATTATTCAACTAATTTTTATGTGTATTTTCGATGAATAATCAAGTTTTAAAAATTAAATACTTTTAGTTTTCATCCAATCTTAAATAAATCAAATAAGTTTAAATAATCTATTATTGGAAGATTTTAATTTACTTAGAAAATGTCAAATTAAATAATTCGTCGATTTATTCAATATTTATTTATTACAAAAATACAAAAAAACTTCCTTTAATTCTAAAATTGCTCATGTTAATGCACGTATTTTTAGTGTCTTTTAATACTATTAATAAAGTTAGTGTGTGTCATATTATTTTAAGGTATGATGACAGGATTTAAATAAGAAGAATAATGAATACTATTTTTTACTTAACAGGGAAATTATCAAAAAGTTATAAGTTTTCTTAGAATAAAATATATACTTGTTCTTATTATTTTATAATTTTTTTTTAATTTAATAGAAAAAAATGTATTATTTTTATAGCTCTGTATTTTTTTTAATAACTTTAGCTGTGCGTAATCAATGTAGTACACATGCTATCCAGGAAGAATCTTCAAAGGTATAATTTTATTTTATTAGACGAGTACAAGAGATAAAATTTATTAAACTTAAATACAATGTATTTATACATTTACAAAATAAATTCTATCAAATTAATATTTTTTATGGCACTTCTACATAATTTAAAAAATTAATAGATCTAAGCATAAAGAAGCCAAAAAAGTTTATTTTTATTTCTTGAGAGTGTTCTAAATTTTTTTATAAAATTTAGTTTTTGGTTATTAAAATAAGCTTCATAACAAAAATGTATGAAGCGCGGAGGAGTATGCATTATAAATATACATTATAATTATGTATATCAGTAAGAACTGTACTTCTCACTCACACTACATACTCATTCTATTTATTAAAATACTTGTACCTTAATAAACTGTAGTCTTGAAATTGTTATTTATCAATTGAATTTTTTTATAAGAAAAGCTTTAAAAATAGTTTATTTTAAATTACAAAAAAAAATTGTTTTGCTTCTTATTAGAGACAAATAATAAAATATGATCTTAACGTAGTTCAATAATCCATAAATTATTAAAAAATAATGCAAAATATTAAATACTTTAAATATTATTAAATTTATCAAAACACGCAGACCACTCTTTATAATAATTTTTAAATTAATACCTACAAAAATAGCCAATTTTAAATATAAAGTGTAAGCTCCATAAAACATAATTTTAACTTATTTTAATTATTTTAAGGGGTCTGTTTTATTTATCAAACATTTGAACAAAATACCAACATGGGAAGATGAACACTTACAATTTTCAGATGATGAAATAAAAGAATTACTCCTTGATGTTGATAGAAATAATAATGAAAAGTATGTTGGCAAAGTAAAGGCATTAAAATGCATTTACGGCTATGCTGTTCAAAATATTCTATCGAATCTAGTAATGTTTCCGACTACAGAAAAAGATAGTTTTGAAGATTCCGAGGAAAGTAGTCAAAGTAAAAGTGAAATGCCCGGTAAGAAGAAAAAAAAAAGAGTTACATTTTGTAGAGAAGCAAAATTAATTACAATAGTAGATAATGATAGAAAATCTATAACTGATATATTAAAAGAGACACCTGAAGATCTAACCAGTAAATATGGACAAAACATACGAATGGAAAGCTTCAGTGATATAGCTAGAAAGAATAATAAAAGTAAAATGTTTATAGTAGACACACTACGATCAAAAGACCTGAGTTCTAAAATCTTGGATAGATATGTAAAATATCTTCGTAGCTACAAAAAATCTGTAGGTCGAATGTTATCAGTGATGAAAAGTGCCAACGAGAAGTCAGCCTATTGGTTATGGTTAGTTTTTATCAAGTTGTGCGCACTTGAAAAAAATTTTATGCATCTAGGCGAATTTTATCAATTCCCCCACCAAATACGTCAGTCCATCGATAACTTAGTTCAAGAATGTCAAAAAAACCGATATTTGGAACAACTTCATCCGAACAAAATAAGCGTGTCCAGAAGCGAGTTGTATAGAAGTGTAAATCAATCTTTTAGTTTTTTAAAAAAATTGAAACTTGAATCTGAAGAAGAAGAAGAAGGAAAAATAAAAAAAGAAAACGATCTAATAGAGCTGTTCAAATATGAGCATAAGTTTGAAATATTTGATTTAATATGGCACAATAAAATAGGGTCCAATATTTTTCCCGATATTGACGTAATAAATTGGAATATAATTGATAGTACGATGTTAATGACTAAATCGACTGTTCGTACATTATGGAAAAAAGATCCAAACACCGTTTTCGATTATTATGATATAGTATCCGATGTCATTAAGGTTACACTGTTGTATTATTCTTTAAAACATTTTATAACCTTTAAAACAAATCGCTGCTCTTTTGAAACCTGGCTAAAAATAATAACGTCAAAGAAATCATTTGAAAAGCTTCAATGGTATTTAACATCGCCTTTGAGTACAGTGAAAAAAATAGTAAATTTCCTTGATATACAGGAAGATTCAATATATACAGAAATTATTAAATATATGCAAGAGGAACCAGATCGTGCGAAACTAAAACACCTAATTAAAGAAATTTCGGAACAGCTTCAAGTTACTTTATCTGAGTACCAAGCATATGATGGTATAATATTAACTACTCTACAAGATCAAGAATCGATTAATATTTTCGATTCAGACGAATGCGAGTGCTCGATCGTCTTAACTAATTATTACAATACATTAATTAGTATTTTTGAATCATTCAATTTTTATGAAATTAATCAACTTAGATTTAATAGAGATACTGTATGGATTGTATAAATTATTTATGTACAATACTCTGAAACATTTTTTTTACTGTGGTATTTTTGCTAACTCATAAATAATAAGTTTGCAAACTATCATTTTTTTCATGCGATTTAAAAATAACATTATTAAAATTTGTAAGGTGATTTTGTTTTAAACAGTACTAAAATACAATTTTTTAATAAATAATTGTTTACACGGCTATATTTTACCTTTAAATGTAATTATTAACCATCTTTATGATATTGTGTCGGAATCCCATACATTTTTTTAATTGTATCTTTCCCTATGTATCAACTAGTTTTTCGAATTATTTAAATTGACTCATGAGATTCAAGTACAAATATAAAATTGCACTAGTTAGTTTACTTACTATTAGGTAATTCTTAAGTGATGCATTATCTTGAATGAATGATTTTATAGACGATTTCGTTAGCGATGATGTCTGTGTGTCATCAGATGACAATAAATAAATAGCGAAGTCATAACTTTTGGCTAAATCAGCGTGTGTTTTAACAACTTCTATAAAATAAAACTTTTTTAAATAAAGTTGTACAACTAAATCTCAGTGGATTTTTCAAACCTTCGTCAAAATCGATAAGATAGCTTTTGATTATGTAGTTCTCATGGTGCTCCATTTTTTCCTTAAGAAAATGAGCGCTCTCTTTGTTCTCTTCATCGTAAAATATTACCAGATTATACGTTATTTTTTTGGCTACACAAAAAAAAATATATATAAAAGTAAGAGTAATACTACTTCCACTTTAACACACGAAAATATAATAAATCCCTTACACAACATATATTTATCTTTTATAATGTTCTTTCTTAATCTCTGAAACATCGTGCCGATCCATCGAAATTTCCACACGGTCAGTATAAACAACAACATTATACAAATAATGAACACGAGTTCCTTTATCAATTTTTCGTCTGATTGTTCGCTGACAACTAAAAAAGTAAGAGAAAATTTAAGCTCTAAGGGTAGACATTTCATTTGTTAAATATAAAACCTTGACTGTGAGCATTTAGTAAGAGGGTCCTTTGTACTATCCGTGAAGAATTGATTTAAGTTTTGATTAAGAGAGATATGGAAGAGGAGTATTTAGGACATTGGTGCCCTCAGTATATATATAATTTTTTTTTATTGAGAAAAATGTACAATTTGTGTAATAAAGCATAATAAGTTTATGTGAAACGATACACAAAATAAAATAGTAAACAAATCAAAAAGAAATAAAATTATAAATTAAAATAGTTTTTATGTCTCAATTGATCAAATTTTAGATAATTAAAAGACTTGTTACCAAAAAATAAACAATGAATTACTCCTAAAATATGTTATTCAGGTACTGGTTCCCTTTGACACCTCTATATTCGCTTTTAAGATAACCGACGTTGATCATTAGATTCCCAGATTTTAGTGCTCAAATTAAAGCATCTAAGCAAAAAATAAATAAAAAAACCCAGCACAGGGAGGTTGCGGCACATTGGTGACGTGGCATAATTGGATCAAGTATAATGATATCTGACAGTTATTAAAATCATTATCATAAAAAACGCTTCGATGCAAATCTTTAGATAGTGTTTAATTTAAAAAAATTGGTGAATTATTCCAAAAGCTACATGATCTGCTATTTCCTTATTTATATCCTGATTAAGGTTAAGTATCTCGAATGAAAGATGTATATAAATACTATTTCTCATGAAAAAATTGTTTTGATCCATACATTTTTTAAAAAGTTGTAGCATTATAAAGTTAAAAATGTAAAATATAAAATCGAAAATTTTTACACAAAAATAGCAAATGGTAGCCATTTTCACCGTGAAGACAAAATAAAGTACGAAATTATTTTTGTCCATAATAAAGTATATTACATTAGCTTTAATTTAATATATATATATAAGTGTAAGAGTTTGCGAAACATTTTCAAAAATTCAGTTGAAAAAGTTAATTTTTTGTGAAAAAGTTGTCATTTGAAATCCCCCCTTCTGGGCAGGTTAAGGGTCAGATTAAAAAAAAAATATACAAAATGATAGGTTAATATCTCACTTATCTATATAAAAATATATTATATAGATTTGGTCATTTTTGAAAAAGTTATGGCTGTTTTAAGTAAACAATTTTTTTTAATATTTCGAAAATAAGCGATTTTTAAATTTGTAATTTTTTTGGAGGTTTCCCCCATTTACGGGTAACGAAAGAAACTTTTTGTGGATAATGTCTTTGACTAGATACGATTTATGATATTTTGACGTATCATAGAAAGAAATCGGTTTGATGAGAGCTGAGAAAAAGTGGCAACAGAAACACAAAAAAAATAAATAAATAAAAAAAAACGCATCATAGAAAAATCAATACCAGTTCAACTTCGTATGGAAGCTAAAATGAGTCATTTAAAAAAAATTAAACATTATGTAGGGCTTTTTCAAAATTTAGAGAGCTAATTTTTTTTAGTTTAAATCTCATCTGGACTACCATAATGACTCTAACAATATATGTTTCATAAATATTAATAATAAAATTAAATAGTACCAACTCTATATAAAATTAGAACGAGTCATCACATAATAAAGTTACTATAATACGTTAATCAAATAATAATTATAGTAATATGGTATCATAATTATTAAATAAGTATTAATGCAAGTATTGTGAAAATAACTATAATTACACTATGGACAAATAATCCAAAAATTCCCCCACGTCAGTATGATATTTTTAATATACAAGTTAATTTTACACATAAGTATCCAAAATTGTTACACAGACTTAACATTTTTATCACTATTCATCCAAAATTTCCCTTAAATTGTACATATAAATGAAAATTCTATCATTTTTTTTATTAGTGTAATATTACTAAAACTAAATATATATAAGTTGAAACTTTTTTTTAAATAATATTTTTTTATCCCGCTCTAAAATAAAAAAATAGAAGGAGTAAAATTCATTCAGGCTTAAAAATATAACTCATTTATAATATCTTGCTTCGCACATTTTGAAATTCTAATGAATTTTTTATGTTTAACTTATTTGTACAATTGCTATTAAAATGATAGCAAACACTATCATTGAAAATTAAATCTCGAAAATAGGAAAAAACAAATTACTCAATTTTTATTAATTTTCCCGTATGATTATAAAATTAATATATTATTTAAAATTATCTTGTATTGATTAAAATTAAATTTTACTCGTAATTGGAGTAATTTCAAAAATGAATGTGTATGAACAATTTATTATAATTTTATACAAATATATGGCAATGTTATAAAACGACTAAAATAAAAACTATGAACCATGCAATTTTAATAATGGGCGGGACCCTCCCTCATCTAATAATCATTTGAGTATTTTTTGTGCATTAAACTAAAAATAGTTAATGGACATAATATTGTGTACTTACCAATTTTTGTAATGTTTGTGAATTGTCTCACAAATTGGTCATCAGTGTTGCTGATTGTGCATAAATACTGTCCATAGTCCGTATCCTGTATGTTGTTTATGTACAAAAACGCTCCTAAAACTTGTTCGTTTTCCCTATTGAATAATAAACATAATATAGACATACCGCTATGATAATAAAAAAATTAACACTTCAACGGTTTCTGAGAAATTATCTGCTTTAGCAGTACGAGAATAATAAATACAGAATACATTTATAGTGAATACAAAAATGATAACGAATTTCTCTGTGCTAACCTGATGATTCGTTCGATCCCATACTTTCCGGTGGGTTCAACCGTTCGATTTTCGTTGACTTTTTTCCACGTAATAGTATTTGTGGCGTCTGGAAGGTCTACTTTGCCTATAAGGTATATTTAAAATTAAAGTTATAAGTAAACTATAACAGTTATGATGATAATTAAGAATTACATACCAACAAACCCTTCACAATATAATCTGATGGAATCTCCAGAATGTGCATTGTGTTTAACGGGCATTTTATAAGTTGGTAAAGGTTCTCCCCAATATCCCGCAACATCTAAAATAACAATTTCGTATTACTGAGTATTTTTAATTATTGAAGTAAATATTAAATATAACGAAATTGACCAACTATACTAATTAAAAAATTACTTTGTGAAATCAATAGCTTTAATGTTTAGCAATAAAACTTGGTAAATTCAAAAACTTTGAATAATATTAACGAATTTATATTATACATAAAATTTATTTTTATTTATTCAGAACTCAATTTTATAATTTAATAGTAATAATATGAAGACAGTGGCGTAGCCACGATTTTTGTATGAAAGCTAAGGATTGTATTTTTTATTACAAACACTTAAGTCGTATACTGCTAATATTAATAATTGGTCAATGGAGCGACTACATGCCTTTTAGCCAGCATCCCTACTTAGCTATGCCACTGAATTAAGGTTATCTTACAAACAAAGTAATAAAGATAACTATAATAATGATCAGACTTGGATAGAAAAGACGTTTTCAATGACAATAATTTAACGCTACCAATTACATCTAAAATCCTTCTAATAGTCAAATTAAATATAGGAATTATAAAGTTTAGTTTATAGGAGTCAATAAAAACTTTATTAAACAAGCAGATATCATTGTACACCTTGTTAATTTACATACAAACGTAAAATAGTTATGTCTAAACGTGAGGAGACGAAAACCACCTTTTAATTTTTAAAAACCACCCAACGATATTATTAAACTTTTCAATAATTCATACACTAAGAATAGAAGATGTTTATAATCCTATTCATTGACACTAATAATTTTGAACAAATTTTATCATTTTTTGTAGTCATTAAAATTGTTGTGTACAATAAAAAAATCTGGAGAGTTAAGTAAATACACCAAAAATATAAATCAAGTTTGCATGAGACAAATAAAATTGCAAAGTAAATGTTTCTTTGTTATGTGAAATGAAAATATTCCTTTGGGTTAATCTAAAATAAAAAAAACTATAAAAATTGTTTTTCTTCAAATGCAATTTAAACAACTACTGTACATTTTATTTTTATAGCCGCCGGTTGAAGCTAGTAATACACGACAAATATGTAACATATTAGATCATCATTTTTTAAACCACATATGGGGAAATGAACTTATAGAATACTCTTTGATATTTAAACTGAACTTCAATACTATAAGTAGACACTAATGAGAATGGAATTTGACACATAAAAAAAAAATGGAAATACAAATTGATTGATTTCATTTTTTAAGTAGTACTAATATTATTTCTCTTCAATTATATTTTAAGTCAAATACGACGGTTTTGTTTTACGTAAATTTTATACACCATAAATATAAAAAAAAATATTGTCAAAAAAACCATTGAAACATGCGAATTACTAAAAAATTCCATTGTCTGAATTCTTTCATTTAAAAATAATTAATCTAATCGATATTTGGCTCTTCGTTGTGTTATAAATATACAGTATTTCACGTAGAATTTATTTTATTAAATATATTATTTTTTGTCTTGATGTCAATTTACCGTTTATTCGAAAACATATTTTCTAATCGAAAAATCAGTTACAAACAAATACATAATATGACAGTCTTTGAAAATTCAACAATTAATCCTAAAATAAATCTTATTAGTGTTAATTTTCCTTTGCTTAAGAAAAAAAGGTAGATTATAAAAAAAATTTTTAGTTGAATATACAATGTCTTCCGAACAATTAAACAATAGTATTATGATTGGAAAGCTTTTTTAGTAGGGTGTTAATTACTTTTTGCTATTAGTTTGGTTTATTAAAAAATTAGGCTGAAGCAGGTAAATTGTGAACCATGTTATTAAATTGTAAAATTATGAATTTTATTTTTATAATTATTATGAACATTCAGTGATAATTTAAAATTTAAATTTAAAGCTTTTTAAAAATAAATTATTATACAAATTGTTTTTGTACAATTTTTAAAATAGATTTTATAGAATTAAAGTACAAAAATTTCATTAAATTCAAATTAAACATTATTTTTTCATTTTAAAACAATTTATTATAAAATATTACTATTTGATTTTTTTATATTATTCTATACTGTTATATATTTTAAAATTAAAGACAACCGATACGATATTTAATATACAAATTATTAAATAATATTTAGTTATTTACTTAAATATAAATATGATAAGCTCATAAGTATACATACGGGGGTACAAAAGTGGTGCTGAGCACGCTCAATTTTTTTTTTTTTTTTTTTAAATTTTGCATTTAACAAGCAAAATAACGGACAATTCTTTTATTACTAACTGCTCGTGTATTCATTTTCTGTTCGTTACAGCTATCAGAATAGTTTCACTATATGATTGATTCAGAGAATTATGGGAATACACGATGTAGAAATATAATTATAGTTATAATTTGATCTATAAAATAATCAATCTTATTGTTCTAGCGCTAAAATTTCAGGATAAATAACACTATATTATCATTGTACATACCTGTGGTTTTGAGTTCCACTGAATGATTGATGGTGGTCGTGTGGTTAGCCAATTGACATGTGTATACGCCATGGTCGGAGGGTGATAAGCTACGGGTGTAAATGGTTTGATTGGCACTCTCGGGATTCAATATGAAACTGGATACATCTCCGGGCCACGGGTACGGTCGACCGTCTTTAAACCTATAAACAAAACACAATAATGCTACTAATGAACGCAAAATTTAAAAATAAGTTATATCAATTAGCTTTTCCCTTAATGAGATTGAACTCAACTGACATTTGTAAATAAATTTAATTGACTAAGGTGTTGTTCAACAAACACACGTCGCATACTTTAAAATTCAACACAAGTTTACTGTTGGTAATAGGCGTAGAAAATTTTTATTGATAATTAATATATCAAATAATTTATTACCTTTTGAAACAGATTTTTGATGTTCTCGATATCAAGAAAACCAAATTAACGATTAATTTTAAAACAATCCTAAAACGCAAACGGTTGATAGAATAAAAACCTATCATAATAACACGTTATTAATAGGAAATTTTATTTAAGAAAGTTTAGGTATTTTATCCCCAAGAGTTGAAAAAATATATATTTATATATATATTATAAAAATACATAATATTGTAGTTTTATGAACTAAATAATTTTTCTCTTTATGAAAATAAAGAATTTTAATATTTTAGAGAAAATGAGTGTCTTACACAAAATTGATCAAACTGTGTAAATGTGGACACATTTACAGAAAACAAATGTTTTCGTTAAAATTCTATGAATATCAAACAAACGCTTGTTGAGATTAATTTTTTTGGTATGAATTCAGTTTTTTACATGTAAATTAGCCGTCGTGTAAGATTGTATTGAAAGAAAAATTATGTACATAATGTAAGTAAAGCGTCACAAGATATTCAGGGGACTTGCGCAGAGCATTGTAAAAGAACAAAAATTGTATATATGAATGGATTGAAATTTTTTTTTTAATGATATTTTAAAAATTTTTCTGGTGAAAATTTTTAGACCTCAAGTCCCAAAAGGACAAAAACGGTGAACATTTTAAAATGCTCATAAGTGAATGACAGAAATTTTCTGATCCTTTAATAATTTTTCCGAAATCACGTTTAAAAAAATGCAAATTGTTGCACACTAAGTAATTTTCTTAGAAAAACGTTATTCTTTATTATTCTATTATACAATAAGATTCGTTTTAAGTATTCGCTATGATCCCTTTATTCATAATTATAGATGTGACTCAATTTCCTTTGAATGCATCAGAAGAGGAACGTTGATATGCTTTACTCAGAAGTACACTGTCAGTTAATATTATCATAAAGTATTTTTATTGTAGTACTCGAGATAAACGTATCATCGTCATACATACACAAATATAATGTAGTTTTTAATAAATTTCTATAAACTAGATGTCCTACTGCAAATTGTATAGGTACCATAAATTAATTATTGCAAATTATGGCAATACAAAAAAAAAAAATTATGTAGCTATAAAAATAAAAAAAGGATCTCTACAGCTACGACGGCGATCAATAAACAATAAAAATGAAGTTTACTCTTAAAATTATTCTTTTTTAGACAAACTAAAATAAATTTTATATTTAGAATTTAGCAGAACTAAACTGATTTACATCGATATTAAAGCGATGATTTGTTTTAAGTTTTAATGGATACAATAATAAGTATTTATAACTACGAGCTTAAAAAACAAAGTCATTATCATTTAATGAGTTTGTAAGAATAATTCATGGGCAAAAATCTTAGTAGTCTGTAGAGACAGTACAGTTAATACCGAATATAACTGACAACGCTCCAACTATTGATCACTATTGATATCTTTTTATCACATCTATCGTACCATGTTTTATGTATGTGGAAGATATTATTACAAAAATATAATACTTCTGGTACTGAATTTAAACTTAAACTTTCTAAATTGTTTTTTGCGTATGAATTAATAATGACATAAATAAATACACATAGTTGAAAGTGATGATTTGTATAAATACTAATTTTAAAATCACATTACTTATTGTAGAGTTTAAAACACACAAGAAAAACGTTACACATCTTGACAGTTCGATTAAAATTTATACAATTTGAAGAGCAGTTACTTTAATTAGATTCAACACATTTGTTTTCATTAAGTTTTCAGACCTTTTTATGATGCTCTCCATCAATTTCATGATAGAAATCACCGAGAATTCCAAGAAGAGAGCGTTTATTTTTAAGGTTATTGTTACGTAAAGGAAACNCATTAAGTTTTCAGACCTTTTTATGATGCTCTCCTCCATCAATTTCATGATAGAAATCACCGAGAATTCCAAGAAGAGAGCGTTTATTTTTAAGGTTATTGTTACGTAAAGGAAACATTATTAATACCCTTAAATAAGCACCTTTGGAGTTTATTTTTAAAGAATTAATTTAACTTTCGTTACTCAAAATGTGAACTCATATTATTAAAAGTCTTGATTACTATTATCAAAACGGGATTCACATAAAACTTTTGCCTGTATGGATTCTAAGGATTCATGTTAAATACGGTAATTTTGCTTAATAAGAAATACTGCTTTACATTAGTGTGAGGTAGTATTTACTAATGTGTAAATATTGATCAACTAATGTTCCATGAAGTGGTTATACAATGTATAACATGTACGCAGTAAATGTTGTACATTAACAAACATTTAATACGAGTGTACAATAAGAGTTAATCTTTGAAAAAATTATATGAATTCAAAGGCATGAGTACAAAACAAATATAATTCATGAATTTCCATCTATATTCAATACGAACTAATGCGAAAAAATTAGAGTATTGTATTTTACATCTAACATTTATTTTTTAACATTAATAAAAACGTAGTACAGTCAGAATTCAGCATTGTGGGCAATTTTGCTGTCGATTAAATTTAATTGTAAAATAACATATCTATTTTATTGTAATGATTCCATAAGTTAATTATTTATTAGAAAACAATTCTTAACCAAAATTGCATTCTTATATATTTACTGTTGAGATTATGAGATTTGAACTAGTTTATTGGAATTATAAAGATTTCATTGATTGTGTATAATTTTGGTAGAAAATATGTCTCAAAAAATAAAAATAATTGTGTTTAAGAAATTACTACTATAGTTTATATTATATATAGAGCTTATGGATTTAAATGAGAGAAAGTTAAACAATGGAAAAAAAGGAATGTAAGCCATTGGAATTTTGTAACTTTGAAGACCTTTTTTAATTATCATTAAAAATAAAGAATAGATTCTATTATTTGTGTATGTATGAGCAAAAACTTTAATACACACAATAGTAGTCCAATAAACTTTTCAGACGTTTTACGAAGTAACTTTTTATTTTTTAATTTATTCTTGAATACTTAACTATTTTAATTTAGAATACTTTATTTTTCAAATTAAGAAACTTTTCTTGAGTTTTTAAGAATTGAAAGAGCAAAACAATGAAGTTTCAACAGAAGGATTTAGGAAATCAAATTGGTGTTTTTATTCTTCAAAAAAGCTTAATAAATCTTTATGAACATTTTAAACAGATAATTATTTAAACGTAGCAGCTCTGGTTCGATGAAAAACACAATAATTTCAACTCCAACCGATAAGAAAACAATTTATCTCCATAGTTTATCCTATGGAGAACGTACACTTTATACAATATACAATTTAATACGATTTTATGAAATAATTCATTTTTGTTTGATACTTTCTGAAATATTTTTTTATCTCGTATCATTTCAGAATTTTTCGTTACATTTGAATTTGGTGCATGTAAAGGAAAAATTGTATGTACTTGTTTTATTGGATAAAAGTTTATATTAAGATCATTTATAAAAGGCGTAGAGTTAATTAAATATCTTAGGTAACCATATAACGGGATCGCACACATAATGCGATGCTGAATCAACTATATGGTTTTACTCCAAGTGCAGTAAAATAACTTTGTACGATCGAGTGGTATAAAACATAAATAAATCTACTTGGTATACACATGCACACAAATGTGTCGGCAGCGTCAGACTAATGTCTAAAGCGATCGACCGCGCGGGTTCCTACGAATCGATTCGCCCTGAAGAATTCGTAGAAATCGTATACCGTTTCTCATAAAAGACTGCACACACACACACATAAACCTATGTATAAAATATATGAGACTAAAACATTTAACAAACGCTCATAAAGTCATTAATTTATAGCATGTGTAGCGACTGGACAGGTAAAATACAGAAACAGTATCTTTGTATTTCATCGCGCGAGTCTTTCTGGAAAACGTAAAATCGATCGATTGAAAACTACTAGTATATAAAATAATTATTACTACGGGATTTTCTTTCGTTTAACTCGTTAGCAGTTAAAGATTCATCTGTTAAAGCAATGTAAAGATATATAAATCGTTGAAGGGAAAAAAGAGAGAAAAACGCTTATAAATAATGATTTAGGATTCTGAGAATCTCATCTGTGTATGGCATTAGACATCTTACAACCGCTACCGTTTCAAAGTTTACTGTCGGTTCTCCCACTAATTTGGGTTTTCAGGAGATGAATTATTCATGTATCCGTTGTGTTATTAAAGCTACTACCAGTAGCTATGTGTTAGATGTAATAACATATATAATATACCTGCTAACTGTCTAAACATAAGTGCCAATTATTATGTATAAATGGGATGTATACAATTAAAATTCTTTCTAGAAACTACCCTGATTCGACAATTTTCTGATAAAAATTAAAATATCAGATTTGGCCGATTTCACGATTTTTTCATTTTAAAAATAGAAAGAAAAATTTCATCTACACAATTAGAAATATGTGTAGTTTATAAAAATGACATCAGCACATAAAACTAATACAGCAATATAAAATTTTCTATTAAAAATACTTACATGTTTTTTTGAATGAATCATTTGAACAAAATCATTATAATTATTATTATATTAAAATAAATTAATAAAGCTAAACAATCATGTTTTTGTTTAATGCTATCAGAATTTAAGAAAATTATAATTTTTTAATGCTTATAAACGTTATTCTTATTAAGAAAAAAAATTCCAAGTCAATTTAAGAACAAAACATAACAGCATAATAACAACAACAAATATGTCTTTTCAAGCATTATTATTCAAAATGATTAAACATATATTATAATTATTTT